TGATGAAAGTTATAGATTAGACAATACGATTTTATTTATGAGCTATTAAGTATACGCCCAGAAATAATTAGATATTGGTATAGATCAAGATAAAATTATTTCGTTACGACAAGAGACTTCATAAATATTATTGATATATTCATTTAGCAATATTTAAAATCTTTTTCGAAGAACAGTAATCCTTTTCATGTCATACGGGTTGAATTGTTAAAGCATAGATACAAGTGCAATGTAATATTTTCAACATATCAACAAGTGTTTCTTCATTCTCACACTTTTCAACCATTTTTCTCATTTTTTTTCTATCTCTCGTTTTTATTTTTTATTTTCTCCTCATAGTTCATGTTTTTATTTATCGTCTGGTGTTTTAAAAAAATTCTATGTTTGATTATATTCATTAATTTCTCAACATTCTCTTTCATTGGACATTCTGTACGTTAGACGATAGACGAAGTTGTTTAAAGAGAATTTTTAAAACAGCGTGACGAATCATAACGATAAAAAAAATAGTTGACATGAGGTGAATAACAAGAAGTTAAAATTAAGCGTGATAAAAGTTAGTTTTTCTGTGAAAAAACTTGCAATAAAGAATTTTAAAATTATTTTTGAATAACTTTTGAGTACGAATACGTGCATAGAAATTGCCTGGTTATTTTAAGAAAATCTGGTTTTTCTGGTCAATAAATGCTAATAAGCAAAAAGAGATGCAAAAATTATTGTGATTTTGAGCTTGAATGTTTCTATTATTTTACAGGTTATTCAGAATATTTCGAAATTCATAAGTATTTAAACATCAACATTTTCTCTCCCATAAAGTTTTATTGAAAATTGATAATTAAAATAGTAAATGAAGTTAACCTTTAAACTAAAATTATACAAAAAAAATTAATTATTTTAATCTCTAGGAGGGTCAGTTCTCAAATCACTAATGTAATAAAACAATAACTTAATCATAATATTCTCTTATCAGGTGCTGATACTTTCTTACTCGACCTATTAATCTATACTTCAGTCACATATTAAATTGTTTGAAAAAATGATTCTTTGGCGTATTCAAAACTGTGCCTAATCAGTAAAATAATTGTTCTTTATATGACATATTTGAAAATAAATTGATCAAGTTTTCAGAATTGAACAAATATTTTTGTTCAATTAAATAATTCGTAGTCACAATTAACTTTATTTCATTGGATGTACACAAAACTGTTGCCATACTTTCTATACAAATAATAAAAATCAAAATTCAAAAACATGATTAGGTTAATAGTGCTCATAATTGACTTCTCCCCTTTTAACCAATACGCAATGAACTCCTAATAATGTTTGTCTTGAAAACCTCATACGAATTTATTCATCATGCAATGCAATTAAACATTAAGAACTTAATCGCGATAACCTGTTCAGTGGATATAATTTTGTTATTTTGTTATGCTTGAACACGCTTTTTTTTCTTATAATCGTATAAAAAATAATTTCTTAACCTTATACATTAGTCGCAATTTGCATTGAATAAAATTGTGTTATTGTTGTCGTCGATATAAGTGACTACATTTGACCACTCTTTCATATTCATCTTTCTCTTCAAGCTTATTTATTTCCGCAGTGAAATCTTTTCTATTTAATATTCACTGAATAGAGTTCCTCACTCATTTCGAAAAAAATTCAATAAAGTCTTATATAAAAAAATGTGAAATATTTATGCAAATGAAATTTTGAGTCTCATCAGTAAAATATTAATGAAGTGCATATGTGAATACGTAGACATATTGAAAATATTTTTATCGAAATTATCAGCAGAAATTCGATATGTCTGCATACTTCTTCATATTAATCGAAATATGATGCTGTTTGAGTTTGCAATAACAATGAGCATAAACAAACTCACATAAATATTTATTCGTGATGCTATCAAAACATGTCTACACTCATTGAGTTTTACTTACTTTGTATCTATGAACATAAATATATAAAATATTCAAACACACACACACACACATCAATAATAATTAATATGCACATTGCAGAAAATTAATTGCGTACAACGTTCATTGCGTTTAAGGTTTTTCTCGCACATAATTCGGCCACTGTCTGAATTTTTAATTTAATTGCTGAGTGAAACTGCATTGAAACATTGAGTTGAATTGAATTTTGCAATGGCTTGGGTAAGCCTTATACAGTAAATAAAAATACGGAAAAAACAGCATTTCATCAATGTTCGAGTCATGTGGCGATCAATAAAAATTCATAACGTGCTTTTTTCTCAGTGTTGCTATCTGGGTGGCTGCATATGAGATATGTTAATAACTTTGTGTTTTGGATTATTTGAATAAATAAAAAAAGTATAATCTCAATTAAGTTTTTAAAATGTTTATTTAATCATAATTTTCCATCAAGCTTGACTTTTTTCAAATTGCAAATAAAGTTTCAAGGTGAAAAATGCATCAGCGAAAATGAAAAAAGTAGATAAATAGTTATTGATTGTCGGACAGACACGTCAACACCTCTGTATTTTCATTAAATCCATGATGAATTTTTTCCATTAAAAATGATTTTTTTTTCTCTTGTCATATTCTATGGAAATTGTTTGAAAACAGGACATTTTATGATGTTTCATCAACAATATGTATTTTTTAACACGAATCTCAAACAACAAGCAGTAGAAGTGTTGTAAAATAAAAGGATTATTTTACCCAACTTTCAGCACCCCTTAATTGTATTCACATATAGCTAGCAACTAGCAGAGACATTGATAGTAATATATGTTGCCGGTAAGATTGATGGAAAGCGTTGCTAAGTCTGAACATAATGCGTATTTGCTATACTAGATTTTATAATGTAATTTAAGCATAAATGGATTATTGAATAAATTTTCTTCTGTATCTTTTCCATTTCATCATCATGACATTGCAGACAAAATGTCTAGGATACGAATATAAAAGATATAAGGATGAAAACATTGTTGGATAATTGGATGTTTATGTTAAGCATATAAACAACTTTTCTACATGAATAAAACAAAAAAAAATTAAATTTTTCTCGGAATATTCAGTCATAGAAATAAAAATTCGCCACAAAAGACTCGATGGAAATGACAAAGCAATGAATAAATAGAGAAGAAAAACAGCAGCAGAAATAAATAAAAAAAGAACTGCAATTTAAATTGTAAATCAGCCACCCCCAGTTCCAATTTTTTTTTTTCCTTTCATTTCATTTCATTTATGCTCTTCTGTTAGACAAACAACTTGGGGTTGCACGCAGACGCTTAACAAAAAAAAATTGTGGAAAAATAAAAGGAAATAAAAAAGACAGTTGTAGATGAAGTGTTACTGAGTATATTGCGAAGCAATGATCCGTTGAAATGCATATAAATCAGATTGTTCAATGATTCAATTTATATTCCGTCGTTCCAACTTCATTTTCTTTCTATTCTCGCATATTATTCTTTTCTTGTATGTTTGCATCTCAATTAGCAACTTGTGATGATTTTTCACACCATGTAATGTATGATAATTGATTTTGATGAACTGATTGATATTTTTATACATCGATTAAATGACTCAATGATCATGGTCAGTGATGGAACTAATTATCGTGGAATCAAGAAAATATCTATCATTAAGTGACTTGATTATTTGTTATACTAATTATAGATAAACCCACGAAAAATATAGAAAACAAGAAAAAGAATGTAGAAATGATTGTAGGAGAGAGGTAAGTAATAGCAAACCCCGTTAGGTGATGTAATTTACATTGTGTTAATCAATCAAACACGCATCATATGATAATACTTTGGCACGCAATATATATTTTTTTTGTAGACACTTCGACATGATAATCATCTTTTTCAAAGGTAATACCACGCATAGATACATTGTTAATAGGGAGAAAATGTTTGAAGTTACTGTACATCCCGTTAGATCTGAACGCATTTTTTAAGAAAAATGTTTCGTTCTTTAATAAGCTTATTTTTACTGAAAATGTAGTCCCAAAACTTCTAAACAGTCTTGCAATAATAAAATAGTCACGACGTCATTATTTTTGCTCTTCTCGATCATGTGGCTGTCACGAATTTTTAGGAAATTTGCAATTACTCCAAAACGTTGTGATATAATACATTTATTTTAAAGTCTTCAATACGATTGGTTGTATCATCTCAAAGCATTCTAAAAGTTCACATGATTATCAAATAAAACAGGAATTCTCTCCAAGGGACTGTTCACTTATTACGTAACGCAAAAAAATGACTTCTTAGACCCCCCCCCCCTCGTAACAAAATTTGTATGAAAAAAAAATTTCCTTGTTTGAACCGTAACAAAATCTTAGACCCCCCCCTCCCCCTAAAAGCGTTACGTAATAAGTGAATGGCCCCCAACCAGTTTTTAACATTTATGCTAAACAGAATTTCTAGGTTTCAAATTCAAAACTTAACATCCCAAAAAATAACAGTTTCAATATTTTATTAATTCAATAAATTGGCAACGATTTTCTATGGTTTTAGGTTTTTAAAAGTGTAGATTAATTTTTTGTATTGTTTTGATGATTTGAACATCTTGAAAGAAAATGGAAAATCACAAATCCAAAACTTTGATTACAACTTTAAGTGAACAACCTCCTAATATCTAGAAAAATCTTTGTTTCGTTCACCTTAATGTTTGTTAAGAGAGTGTCAAGGATTAATAAAATACAGTAAAAGAAAACATTCAGCATAAAAATAGTTTTCGTTTCGTACATTCAAGGATGATAAGCTGTGTTTCTAAAATGATAAAAATTTGCTGATAGTACTCAATTTAGTTCAGCTGTAATTCTACTGATAGTGCACTTAATTGTAGAATTTATAATATAATGGCAAGCAGCTAATTTCAAACTTGTTCATTCAATTTTTCAGCACTAGACAAACCAAAGAAGACCAAGTAGACAAACTACAGACAATTTTAATTTTCTTCAAAACGTTTGTTCATGAAATGGGTATTTATAATAAAGATAAAAATTTCAGTATTTACCTTGTCTCCAACTACGTCCTCCCCTTTCTTTAACTTCCTCCTTTTAGGGCGTTCAAACTTTTATTGATTTCGTATCTCTTCTATTAAACTGTATGTTATTTTATTTTGTTTTCCTTTTTTAGTTATAGATCATGACAATCTACATGTAAATATATATTTTTGTGTATAGTCCACCGCGTGATATTATCGTCGCTTTGCTTTTATTACTACTATTATTTCTGTGTATGACGAATTTTTTTTTGTTTTATACGCTAAATTAACTAGCCAACAATCAAGTGCAAGGTAATGTCGCTTGTTATAAACTTTGTTGATTGAAACTTTTACTCAATCACATGACCGAATTTTTAACGCGACAAGCACTGATTTTTACTTTTTCATACACTTTTCACTTCTTCACTGTTTTTATTTCTTGCATATCTCTTTCAGAATTATTTTTATGTCTTTCAATTTCACTTGATGTTTTCGCTGCGTTATTTTTTACTATTATGCTTATTATTATTTTTCATTTGAGGTTTTTGACACTCCTTGTATTATCCGAAAAGGCAATAAAAATAAGTTAAGTAAAATTGTACTAGGAGATATAGAAGAATAAATGTTAACACCAAATAACTTTTTATGATATTTAAGAAGGGAAAAATAATATTTTTTGAGGTCAAATAACACTATTTCTTTTTTTATGTCTATACAAATTTTTTTTATTTTGCTTGCCTCCCTCTTTTTTGCTGATGACACTCACGGTAAATTGAATATTCTAGAGAATTTATAATCACATAATCACTAATGTACACTAATTCTAATTCATTTCAAATTAATTCCTTCATTTATGCTCCCTTTATTTTTCAAAAGATTAAAATTTTCTCCTCTATAAGTGATTTTGTTGTACGACATTGACTATGTATGTGTGCATGTATTGTGAAAAATTTGTGATAGACATTCACATTTGGTATTATCACGGCACGAATCTGCAAAAATTAGAAGGGAAATAAAAAAATTTGATTATATATGTAAAAATTAATTTTAAAGGTGAATTGTTTTCGAGAAAAAAATTAACAGACTTAAAACTTTTTATGAAAGTCGTAAAGATTTTTCATTCTTATTTAGCAAGTGCAAGATATATTTTATGGTGTAATCAAGTAAAAGTGAAACAGCTATTACGACATTCCTCCTAGTTTGCAACTAGAGTAAAATAAATTATTTCTTAAAGTTTTACGCAATTTTGCTGTACACAAGTTTATGTCATCTAAAGATATTATCACTCATTTCCGATGCATTTTTCTATTTCATTTGAGTTCACTAACACATTGCCTGCCTTATCGCTCTATGTTTTCTTCTGTCTCCTGTCTTTTAATAAAGCGATTATGGTTTAATGTCATATAAATTTTAGCTGTCGTAAGTAATCCTCCAGTCGCTGTTTGCTGTTTAAACAGCAAAATTTTGCAATGGAATCTCAGCTTTTACCTTTCAAATATCTGTCAACATTTTTTTTTCAAAAGTTGGCGCACCTTGCGAATACCCAACAATTAAATAATGGAATTAATTTCACTTTCTCTACATTTACTGCCCGAAAATTTCTTTCAATGTACACAGGTATTGAGAGAGGCTCATAATTGCTTATAATAATAATAACAGCATAAAAAGTTTATGTACGTATGAAATGAAAACGAAATGAAATTGTAAGTAAACGAATCACAGATTTATCATTATTCGCTGTTTATTATTGTTGCTGTATTTCTTGCTCATTGCTTCTCAATGTTTGTGTGATGAAATCAGTAATAAAACTTTCCAAAAGAATTTTGTTAAATAATTAATGAGTCATTATACAATCGAGAACACAACGATAATGATATAATGATTTTGATACTTTTTCCTACCGCAACAACAATAGCTTGTGAAAAGATATTTTTGGGAAACTACACGTGTGTGATGAGCCTATAGAACAGGTGGTAGTGATTAAAATTTCATTATACAAAAAAAAACACTCAGACAATAATTTTCAGGTAGACACACGAAATTGAAGTCAAATAGTAAATTTCTTTTGAACCCTTTTTTTTGCAACAAAAACAACAACGAATGATGATTTTTATGACTTATCCACATTTAACCGTGCAGCACTTTTTTTGCAGTGAACAGTTCAATATGAAAATATAAAGGTATGTGTGTGAAAGAGAAGAAAAATCGGATGCTGTTTTTTATCGATTTTTTTTGCAAGTGTTATCACATACATCTCAAAAAGGAAAGCACTGAAACATTTCTTTTTTTGTCATTCACAAGTGAATTATTCGTCATCTGAATAATGGATGGTTTATTGACTTTAATATTTAATAGTTTTGTGAGCACAATTTAAATATTTTTCTCTCATTCAAAGCAAAAACATTGAAAAATCTCCACAGAATCTACACCAACAAAAAAAAAAGTCCTGTTTTTCGTTTAAGGTAATCTTCTCGAAACTCGGGCGTGATTTTTATTTTATTCACAAATAACAAGAAATTTATTAATTAAACTTTCATACATTTAACTAATTGATGAGACTATTGTGATGTATAGCACATTTGTTTCACTATTTTAAGTGTTTAACTGATGAATAACAAGAATTAACAAAAAAATGCCGCTCTCACATCTTTTCTGTTTCACACAAATTTTTCAAATGAATGTGAACGAGAGTAAGTTGAGGGGTTGGCTTGTATACAAAAAATATTTTTGAGACGCTTGAAAATGGACGTTATTTTTACTATAAATATCAATAAATGCAACAAGTTATCAACACCATTTTCCTTTTTTCTCACGTTTCTTTGGTTTAAAAAGAAGTGATTTTTTTAAAATAAGTTTGAAGCAGCTTTAGACTATCTACTGACTTGAACTATAAATTAAAAAAATGATTGAAACTCTCTGAAAATTTATTTTTTTATTTTCAAAACTCATAATATTGCTGAAAACATCAGCTTGTTATCGAATTGACAGCTGAATATTACCAACACATTTAAATTACTTTACAAAGAATATAAAGCAAATAAGTTGACTTTTAACCAATAGATGTCGCTCTTTGCATGAAAACATTGAATTGTGAAACTTTTTCTAACGGTCTATAGATTGGAATCATACCAAGCTTAACAAAATCTCAAAATCACACTATTGGCTAATCAATGATTAAGCTATCATAATGGAATGAATTTATGTTCGGTCCACAGTTTTAAAAACCTTTGCCACACCACTGATGGTCAGCTTGAAATTTTAAAATGTTGACATACTCTTGGCACCTCCGTGGCTGTAAAAGCTTGTTTTTGATTAAAACATAATTAATGGAATATTATTTTTTGCCTTTTATTTCGTCACACGCGGGTTTTTATTATTTCTTTAATACCGGTTTATGAATGATAATCACATCTTACTAAACAAATAAAGGGGCCGTTTTAAGTTTTGCTAATTTAACCAAGAAAATAAAAAATCAGACCTCCACTGACGTTTCAAAATTTGTAAGAAAGAAAAAGTCTTTTATTTAAAATGTCTTAAGACACTTCTTCCCCTCAAAAGTGACATCATAAGTGAATGACTAATTAATGGTGACGACAGCTCGTAAGAAAAATTAAACTAATGACTACGGTTCAATATTCATGACGCAAAAATCTGATGATTTAATTTCTCGGTATTTGTTCAAATCCATTAACTCTCCATTATGTCTTGTTCGCTTTTAAACTAGACTTTTATTCATAAATCTAAGAGTCACATTCTCTTGACTTTCAGAAGTTCAATGTGATTCAAATATCCCGGTAGTTCCGAATTCTAATTTAAAGAGTTATTTTTCTCAGCAATAAATTTATTTAATAAAACAACATCACGAAAATCGATTAAATAATGAGATTCGGATAAGAATGAATAAGAGAACACAACAAGCACTAAGGGATGTAGAAAAATTAAAAATTTAGATTAGTTCTTCAATTTAATTCTGTTTTATTCTCCTTTCTTCATCACATATTCTCACTTCTCACTTCAGATTTCAGAGTTTAAAAATGATTTAAAAATCATGACTTTCAATTTTTGCAGGCATGCTAAAGGACGGTAAATTATAAACTTTTTGCATTTAATTTTTTTTTTCTAAATCCTTTTAATTCATTTGTATAAAAAAATAAAAATTGATACTCAATGTCACTAGCGCCTATAAAACAAATGTAATCCTTGTTATCTTTTTTTTTATATGACACTTTAACTTATTGATCGTATTCTTAGTATTCGAGCACTGTCTTAAAGAATAAATTTAAATACAAATCTTTTTGATATATACTTTAGTTTTGAGTACTGGTTCAGTTGTTATTTGATGTTCAGTGTGTCAAGTTTAAAAAAATATTTTTAGTCTGCTAAATTCATTAAGTATTTTTTGATCACTAAAGTAATTGCAATGTGTGCAGAATTTTGGCATAATTTGTACACGTTTATTACTGTCGCACTTTTGGGAGTGTTGTATTACATTTTATTCGTTCCTGTTACTTGGAAAGATGTAAATAATAAAATTTCGTCGAAATTCAATTTCCTGTTTAAATCTTCTTTATTTTTGACCTTTCAAGAATGACGCAAATGATAAAAAGTCAGCTATAAATCGTGCACGAAGACTTCGTAAAATTGGAACAAAATTATTGCCACCTTTTCCAAATGGCTGGTATAAATTAGCTACCTCAAAAGAAATAAAACCTGGAACAGCTAAGCATATAGCTTGTATTGGTGAAAATTTTGTTGTATTTCGCTCAACAGATTCTAAGAAAACCTTTGTTCTGGATGCTTACTGCCCCCACATGGGCGCTAATTTAGGTAAGATAATATCCTTTTTCTCAAATATATTAGTTTTATTTAAAAGAAATATTCAGGAGTTGGAGGAATAGTTAAGGGAGACTGCATAGAATGTCCTTTTCATCAGTGGAAGTTTGACGGAGAAAGTGGATCATTAGTGAATATTCCATACAGTGAGAGTTTATCAGAAGGTAAATTTTATATAGAACTCTTTCAATTGGAAGTCATTCCAACATTTCATCATCTCAATAGTTGAAAAGTTTGCAAAAATACGGAAATGGACTTCAAAAGAAGTCAATGGATTAGTTTTTGTCTGGTATCACAGAGAAAATGAGGAACCTTGGGAGATTCCCGTTATTGATGAAGTTGATAATGGCAGATTTGTTTGTCATGGGTGGAATGAGTTTCGAGTGCATTCACATATCCAAGATATTCCTGAAAATGGTAAGATCACATTTAAGAATTAATCATGTTCCAGTTAAAATGTAAAACTAACGAGTTCATCTTCTCACACAACAATACAAAACAAAAAATTACTTAGGTGCTGATATAGGTAGTTTAAATCAATAAACGCAGTTTTATTGAGTGTTAATAATGACATTTTTGAATAAATTTGCAATTACAAACAGCTCATCTTGCAACGGTTCATGGATCAAATATATTGGGAGGAGCAGATATTAACAATATGAGAAACAGCTGGTTCTCATTTGGATCTCACATTTGGAATGCAAAGTAGGTGATCTAAATAATTAATGATAAATTGATCCTCACTGATTTCTTTTAAATACGTAAACACAGATGGAGTTCAAACACTTACTTTAAGCATATGGCAACAGTAAAATTGACACATATCTATAAACTCTTATCATTCAAATTGATTGAAATTGATGCTGATATAGATCAAATCGGTCCTGGATATGTCACATTAGTACTGAAATTAATATTTGGAAAAATTATCATCCTACAGACTTTAACACCATTAGAGCCGTTAGTTCAAAATTTATCTCATTATTTCTATGCTCCATGGTATCTTGGGTGGTTAGCTAAATTCATAATGTACGGTGAAACAATTAATGTAGCACGAGATGTCATGATATGGAATTCAAAAGAATTTGTGAGGAATCCTTTACTTCCAAAAGAAGAGAAGCCTTTGAAGATGTTTAGAAGCTGGTACTCGCAATTTTATTCTGAGAACAGCAAAACTTTTGCTCAAGCTCATGAGACTCTAGAATGGTAGATGATTTATTAAGATATAATTTACAAAAGATATTTTTAATCATAATAACAAAAGGTGTAGACACTTGAAGATTTTTTTGTAACAAAAATTGGATAAAACACTAGCACTTTCTTGACTTATTCTGTCAAACTTGAGAGTAAATTTTAATTTAATTTATGCATACCAGTAAACGCGTAGCAAGTCACAATAAAATAAATAGAACTATTGACCACTACGCAAATCATTATATGTTAATAGCTTTATAATTTCAATAATTAGCATTAATGATCTGCGATTTTTGGCCGCAACAAAAAATTTGAATTGGAATGCAATAAAACGATAGATTAATTTAGATTATATTCAATTTTATAAACATTTAATCCTTAATTAAAACTAGATACTAAGGAAGCTTAAGATAAAATTTTCTTGAATGACCAAGCTTCACAATCAGGACCACAATTAGAATCCGATAGAATCACAAATCTTTAAGTTTAATCCATCCCAAGTGCAAGTGTCTACACCTCCAAACATGCGTGTGAATTTTAGAATTTACCGATTTACTTAATAATTTAGGAAAAATAATTTTCTCATAATTAATGTTGTATTTTTTATCCATTTGATTTATGTTCCTCTCATGATGTTTTTTCTAATAAAAAAAACGACAAGAATTCGCGTTAGCAAGCGCAGGAAGATATAAATTCTTTGAATTCTCTATCGTTAAAAAGAAAACATTCCTTTGCTCATGTGTTGTAATTTAGTTCTTTTTCATCGTCTTAAGTCCCCCATAAAATTCATTGAGAAAAAGAAATATGATGTTGAGAAGATGGAAAGCAAGAAAAACTATCTCTCATTCATTTCCTCCCTATCTTTCTCTCTTAACATACTGTGTAAAATCACTCAACCCATAAAAGCATATCAGAATCAGCAGCATCATCATCTGATTCAAAAGAAGGAGATGCGAACCAAAAAAAATGTGAGAATGAAGAGAATGAAGAGAATGGACGAAAAGGAAAAATATCGTGTAGGTGTATTTTTTTTCTTGCTGTTCTTCGGAACACTCTTCTTCGGAATTATCAAAAAGGAAAAAAAGGCAAAGAATTTTTTTTATCATCATATGTTCCAATGTAGGCCCTTTCCAATGGAAATGTATGAACTTAAACGACCACACTCAACATTTTCATTCATTCAAGATTTCCTCAATGCTATTGTGTGATAATGTGTATAGATACATTGTTGTACATACATAAATCCATATACTATGATGGTGGTTGAGAGAATTCGACTGACTGTGAAGGAAAAACTTGAAAAAGTCTCATTGGAAAATTTCAATGATGGTGGTAGCGATAGGAGAAATTGGAAAGGTTTTTTTTTTCTAAAGAACACGTACAGTACGTGTCGCCATGTTGAAAATTACGCTGATATTTTTGTAACTTGGAAGCAGGCGAAAAAAAATTCTCGCTAGTGGTTGAAGGAAAAAATTTTAATTTAGACTCAAAAATAGTGGACAAAGAAAGAATTAAATTTAAAATAAATAAATTTAAAGTAATTTTAAGTTATGTATTTAGTTTGCCAAGTTACTAAAGACCTTTAAAAGATTAAATTTAGTGCAATATTAACTCAAAAAAGTTGTGATTGCGAGAAATTTTTTATGTGTTAAAATATAATTGAAAATGTGAAAAAAAAAATATAAATATATAAAAAAAATTTCTTTCTTTCTTGAATATATTGAAACGAGTGTAAAGAGAAGAAAATAATGAAAAGAAAAATAGAAGAAAGAAAAAACAAATGTACAGGAAATTGATGAGATTCATACAAAAATTTTATATTGAACCTGGTGATGAAAATTATATTCAATTGTGTTGATGGAAAATTATCAAGCCCCGTTGGTGGAACGAACGAGAGGAAAGGAATGAAAAAAAATTCTTTGGATTAAAAGGCAAAAGCATCCGTCAAGAAGGGCCAGATCTTTCATTAATTTATAACTTCTATTGCTCATTACTACATTATATTTTGAGAACGGAACAAAAAAACTGTCATTTTTGAAAAGTGAAAAATTGCACATAAATGTTTGATTATGAGAACTTTCATTCGATGGAAATCGTTTGTGAAAGAAAAATATTAGCATAAATTTTATATACAAAAATATTTTTTCACTTTGCCTTTTTCTGCTGCTTCGCAACTTATTACTGCTAATCTCCAAATTTTCCCTCCTTCAATAGTTGAAACATTAGCTTCTTTTTCCTTCGTTTATTCAACTTAATTACTCCCAAATGCTGACCTGTTCCACCTCCAAATTATTATGCAAATTTATCAGAAAGTAATAACGTTTAGTGAATTACTAACAGTGAATGTGAAATAAGTAAGAACTTAACAAGAATTAAAAGGAAAACGAAGAAAACATGAAAAGTTTTCAAGGAGGGCGAATTAATTTTGTAAATTTATACATACGGTAAATACAGCTTAACTCGCTTGTTATTCATACTGCACACATATATGTGAATTAAGGAGGTCTCATAACGACAAAACAAAAAGTCAACAACAACAAGAAAAAAAATAATAAATATAATAAATCAATTTGAAACAAGTTGAAATAAAATGTGTTCAGAATTCTAGGAATCATACATAAAAAATAGATTAGAAAAATATAATATACATAAAAAGTCACTTCTATCCCATACGACTACTACGACAAGAAGAAGATTTAAGAAAAAGCAAATATAAAAAATTTAGACATAAAGTTGCTGTTGTATCGGATATAAGAAATCACTCGAAAGGATTCCTTCATCAGGATATAACAAGACAAAAAAATGTAAGCACAAGTTAAAGCTTAAAAGAGAAAGAGAGCTAGTAAGGTGTGTTCCAGCTGTATGTTAAAAATGAAAATTGATGAAACATCAAATGAAAAAAAAAATATATAAAATAGATGTGAATGAGAAGGGCTGTTGAGTGTGTTAAAAATAAGTATCTATGAAAATGTACACAAATATAATGAACAATTGGCTGCCTATTGACTGTAAACGGGAAAATTTTCCATTTTTTTCTTCCTCTCTCCTTTGCTCTCTCCAAAAAATTTTTTTTTGCTGATTCTTTTTAGTGCGTGGTGAACTGGTGAATGATTGAAATGAATGATAATAAATTTATGCACAAGGGCAGCATATTTGATGAGATTAATGTTCAATTCAGTATAGCTTAATTTTTTTATTGATGATTTTCCAATAAATCGTGAGAAATGAAAGGGAAAATGAGAAGAAAAAAAATGTTTGAGAGGAAAAAAGAATTGAAAATATTTTTAATGTGTAAACGGTTGGTTCTTCTGTTTTTTGTCATAACAAGATGAAAAATTCCCTCAGGAAGTGTTCTTTTCTTTTCATTTTCATCTTCTTTTATCTTTTTCTTTTCATATTCATTCTACATTTTTTTGTTAAAAAAAGATAGAAGTCGTGAAGACATGCACAGATGTATTAGAAGAAATTCCACCGTGTGTGTCTTTCTTAATTCTCTCACTCATCTAAAACCTCTTAATTCACAATGCTTTTAAAAAAATATATTTTTTCATTTGATATAGAAGTGGAAAAATCTTCGATGAATCGCTTCACTTACACAACGGATGTATGTGTAAATTGTGTGTGAAAATCTGGTCATTGGAAATCTATTCTATTCACATCGTTTATGTTTTATAAATTAAAATGTTTATTGATCTCAATTTGTAACATTTTCATGACTTTGACTCTAATATTTTCATGTTATCGTGACATATCACATTTAATCCAACTTTTTGAGTCTTCTTATTTCCATACATGTAGTTTTTGAATGTTGCAAAACAATGATAATCATTTACCAAATTCATTTTGACGTCAACGAGTCTTGGAACCATCCAAACGATTGCCTTCTCAAAAAGCACCATCATGATCCTCTTACTCTTGTCTATTATCCTCTTTTTCTCGTGTCTAATGGTTTTTGACATGAATTTTGTCTGATTCAAGCATATGCTATTCTCTAAAATACCTTTGGAAGGAAGTAAGATTTTTTAACGAGCTAGACTGAATATGTCTAAATCTAAGATATTAAGCAGCACATTCTCTTTCAGCTTCATTTCTTATTTTTTTACTCATAAAAGTTGAATTTCTTTCAAATCTTAAAACTTAAAGAAGGTCTTACATCCCCTAATAGTAAAGATGCCCCACTTTTTTTATAAAATGCGCTCAATTCCCATTGACTGTAGATGAATTTTGTATTTCAAATTTCCCTCATTCATTCAGTTTTTTCTTCTAATCCTTACACACTCTCTCGTTCCATTTCTTGCTCTCCTTTTGTGTTCCTTCCATATCATTTACTTCAATCAGAAAATTTTTGCCTTCCGTGGGAAAGTTTTTTTTTGTCTCTACTTCTTCCCAAATATACAGTTTTATTTTTTTGAAAAACATCTCCCACTCAAATGTAGAAAAAAATTACTTCCAGCCATGATGATATGTGTGAGGGAAGCACAAATGAGGCCCAATAATGAAAATGTTGGAAATGTCATGCACACTTATGAAAATTTATTTTTTTTTCTTTTGTGAGATTGGAAGTTTTCCATTCCTGTTCTCCTCTCAACTTTATGAATGTGCGCGAGTGGAAATATCATCACATTTTCAAACATGAGTGTATAAGTATCACAAAAAAATAATATTTGTGTATGGGTATGTTATAGTACATTAAAATCATGTGTTTCAAACTTGGAAAAATATTTTCGTGTGACTTTTTAATTTTTCTTTCCTTTCTTTTGTTTTCATTGTTTCTTTCTGCTGTTGACTCTCATTCGACTCAATCCTATTACTTAATAGCGTTTATTTTCCGTGTGTTTGTTCGGTGACAAAAAAAATTCATGTTAAAACGAAATTTACCAACTTGTTAAGGTTTTTATATTTTCTACCATGAAATTCTTTAATAAATATTATTGAATAGTAAATTATTCAGCAAAGTTTTTATTGAATGACAACAGAATGCTCGAAAAATGTTTGAGGGAAAATGACTATAGTTTTATGACTTCTTGTTATGCTTTCACATATATTCAAATATATTATAATAAATTATTTTTGTTACTTTTCGTTTTTGGATATTTATGACTATTCAAACAACTAGAAAGTTCCGTCATTGACGAATAGAAGTAAAAAATCGTTTTAGTTACTTTTTAACATTGATTAAATAATACTTAATGTAGACAAATGTCAAAGCATCCCACACCCCATTATTCATTTTAATTTACTCCTTTTAAATTCTAAAGGCTATACTTAATCCCAATTATTTTATGAGAAAATATTAAATCTCAAAACGTTCTTTGCAATCAATGACAGAATTTTCGAGTGGAGGATTTCCATTTGGAAACTAACAGTTGACAATTAAAATAAGTTTGAGGGATGATCTTCATGACATGAGATGAATATTTAAAATAGAATTACGCACAATTTTGTTGTCGATCAAATTATCCAGAAGCTTTTAAAAAAGAGGACAATAATGCGTTTTTGACAAGAGTCCAATTTTCAATCTGTAAAGGCTATTGTCAATATGCCAAATATAAGCGCACTTCTTCAATATCAAATCGAATTAAAGTTTAAAAGTTTCAATTATTTTCATACTTAATTCCAAACACTCTTATTTCCATGAAATCTATTCATAAGTCAAACATAAGCTTTGTGAAAATTTAAATTGTTTTCATAGATAATTCATTAATGCCACCCGCTAATGAATGAATCCCATGAATGAAAGAAGAAAATTCTATCAATGAATGAAACTGACGCAGAAATATTTGCATTTAAAAGAATGGTAGTATTATTTAAACACCCAAAATATTCTTCATTCCTTTAGGAAGGTGTGAAGACATATTTATGACTTTATCTCTCTTTCTCATTTTTAATTCTAATTTTATTTTCGGCAAAACAAATAAGCTTTCCTCTTGGTTATTTACATTTGATCTCATACAAGCATGATCACATTGTATATTATTCTAATCATCTATTTATATTGCAATAAGTCTATGATTATGTTAATTATTATTCTATAAATAATAGTTTGTCCATGAATCTCATTTAGCTACAATTTTTGATTAATGTAATAAAACTTTATCATAATTAGAACGTCATTCATGACGACATTCCTTATGAGAAACAGTATGAGATTTCATTCATGATGACGAAGACTCTGTAAATTATTCTCATATACAATCGTTCTCAAATTTACATTTTCATATTTAGTCTTCTTTTTTGTTGTTTCTGCAAACAGTTTACATATCAACTGTGCTACATTTTATTATTATAAATTAAACATATAAATTTTTATATTAATTAATTGTGCACCTTTGAGAGTTAATGTATGTGTGTGTTCCAATTTGTGGTTTGAAAGTAATTAATTGACAAAAAAATTACAGTTTTGTAAAGCTTTATTGTTTTTTTTAATGGATTAGGTTAGGAATAAACAGTTATTGTCCACCATTTAGTTGTAAATTAACTTATGGCCGAGAAATTTACAAATTATTGTCATAAAATACGAGGTATAATTTAGTGGAACAAAATCGCATGAAAAATGTGAAATAATTGGAGAATGTCTGTGAAAGCAAGTAAAAATAATGAAATAAAGTTCTTTTGTGACTGTAAATTTTTTCAAAAAAAACTATCAATGTGTAATTTGATAGAACTAGCTTTTATCTACATAGTACTCATTTTGGTGGAGAGTAGTCAATTTTGAGGATTTTTGGATGTATCAACAAATTGTCATGAAGATCAAATTTAGAGTGTTTGTAATACTAAGATATACCAGACATACCAGATCCACTATAATTAATTTACAATTAAAGTTTTAAATATAAAAATATTTCAAATTAAAAAAACCAAAATGTAAATCATCAAAAAAAATCATGACAAATGTTTTGATTCATCAGTAGTTTGCTGTTGGAGATAAAATATTCACAGCTTAAAAATAATTAATTAAAGCGTTTAATCAGAGAAATTTATGATCTAACACATTTTCCACAAAGCCAGGGTTGTGATACAGGCACCTGTGCACAGGTGAGAATCGTACAATTCCTTGATAATTTTTAAGGTTTTACTAAAATTTATATTTTTTTTCTTAGAGAACCCTTATAAATTACCATGAAATTGTGCGGTTTTCATCTGTGACAGGTGCCTGCATCGCAACCCTGCACCAAACTAAACGAACTTAAACATCATAATATAAAATTGTATTAAAACATACTCATGCTTTACAATTGTCTGGGGCGTAACCAGAACTTTTTTGTGGGGAATGCGGATTTTTTTGCATGCCCTCTTCTATGTCCATGTCTTGTTTTTTTTTTTAAACATGGGGACTTGAAGACATTTTTCTAATTGGAATGTGATTTAATCAAAGTTTTCCAAAAATTCAACTCTTCTTATGACGTCATTTATTTTAAATATCTCAATCCAAAATTAATGTAAATAAATTCCTTCACCAACTCTAATTGGAGCAACTTAATGAAATATAGCAGAATTCTTTTCGTTCATACTATATACTTGAGGTCATTAACTTATCTAGATCATAGAATAAGTTTATGAGAACTTTTTTATGTTTGACTGAAAGCTTTATTTTTCAAGATTCCTTGTATTCTTTCTCAGTGATTTTTTGATGTTTATTTGATTCTAAAAATGATCCTACAAGCAAACTCAACTCCTGAATAGCAGTGGACAAATAAAAACAAATAAATGTCATGTGTCTGGACATCTTATGAATTTTTCATCTGTTTATATCTGTTTACATGCAAATGAATTTGCGAAATAATTATCATGACTTTGAATTCATCATCAATATCTGGCATGCAGTTTTTTTTTAAATTTTGCGTGATAAATTTTGAATTTATAATAAATTCAGTATCTCGTATGTATTACTTTTAAGTACGAATTATGTGTACAAAAAATAAGCTTCAACCATTTGTTTTAAAGGATTTGAAAAATTATTGAATGAATGTTTAAACATGCTGTCATTAAATTGAAAAAAAAGCTCTCTCTTGGCTCAATCATTACAAAATTCATAACATCATCGATATCATCTGTACAAATTTCTGTAACACAACAGAAGAGAAAAAATCTAAAACAAAAACATCAATTACAATAGATCTTCCTCTATGTCTCGTTTTAGAAAACAGAACATCAGCATAAATCGATGATTATGATATTGTGATGAAAATATTCAACAAATATGGGATGATAAACTATCCTGAGGATTATGCTAATAACTGTACATCACTTCAACATTGAAAAAACATGGCTGCAATAACTTTATAGTTGCAATCATATGAGAAATCAAACTGAAAAAATTTCGAATGTAAAACAAGACATAATCAAAAAGGATTCATACATAAAAAGGAGAAAATATATTCTCAACTCAACACAATCACATGCTTAACAAATAAAAAAGACAACATAAAAAAATTGTATTCGAGGAAGAAGAGGACAAAATAATTTCTTTAAAAGTTCAGTTTAAGAAAAGTACTGGCTTGTAGGCAGGATCATTTAAAAGTGAAGGAGGAACAATAACGCAAATATTTCTTCTAGTGTGGGTAAGTAAGTAATTGATTTTTAATTTTGCCATAATTTTTGTTGTGTCAGGCATAGACTCTTATATGGTAACAAATCTTGTGTATGATTCTAACGACTAATGAATAATCCAAATTGGGTGTCTAACTGTGCAGTATTTCATTGGATGAATTTCAATTGTTTGACAAAATGTATCGACTTCCAAGTAACATAAACAATGAACCGATTTTCAATGATTTTAATGATACAAGTGTAGTAAGCTTTAATCCCCAAACTGGAAAGATAACGTAAGTAAATAACTGACAAAATTAATAACATACTGCACCCAAAATCAAGCTTTTTTATTGCAATTATATTAAAGATCACAAGTTATTTTTCAAAAATATCACAGACAAATTTTGGAAATAAAAGCTTCGTAAAAATGACATCCACAATGCATAACTAAACACATTTTGCAGAAACAATGTAATCGCTTATGCATTAAAATCGTCTATGCCTAAAAAGTACAAAAGAAAAAGTTTTCTCTGCATCGTATGACAAAAACTTTTTTATTTTATTTAATTTTAGAATGTCCTGTAGTGTATCTGAACTACCCCCGGGGTGTAGACTCCGCGGCATGGGCTCCGCAGTACAAAGTGGTTCACTTAATAAATCATTGACTGGTGGACAGGACTCTTCAAATGGTGCACTACCGAGATCGCAAAGACCCTGTTATTTTTGTTGGTGTTGTTGCTGTAATTGTTCATGGTAAGTTCATGTTAAATGTCATAAATATTTATTATTTATCATGTTTATTGTCCACATGTTAATAGAATAGTGTATGAATATTATCTATAGCATAGTTTTTGTCTTTGTGCTTATTTACCTTTCTTTCCATAGGGCGAAGTGGTAAGGCTTTGATCATATATATTCACACATTCCATTCAATTTGGTAGACATAAGAAAAAACAATAGAAAATTGTAGATAATTAGATTTAAAAAAAAGTAGCAACAGGTAATTTTACAAGTTTTTTGACTTAATAAAATTTTTGTTTCAATTTAATTACAGTTTGGCAATAAAAAATAATGATGATAATGGACCAACGAAAAAGGATCCGGCGAATTCTGAATTATTATTAGATGGTGAACAGTAAGTCTCAAAATATTGATATCTAACAATCATTGTGACTTTCATGTGACTGTTATTAATTTTATTTAACTTTACTTTTTTTCCAGGCCAACATTAGAAGAAATAAGAAGTTGGTCTAAAAGTTTCGATAAACTTATGAGAAGTCCAGGTAAGAATTTGAATGATATATAGAATGATGCACAAATTTTCCAATATCTCATCTTTTCATTTTAGGTGGACGGAAAATATTTCGCGATTTTTTACGTTGTGAATATAGCGAAGAAAATATCCTCTTTTGGCTGGCTTGTGAGGAGCTGAAACAGGAAACGAATCCTGAGGCCATAGAGGAAAAGGCTAGATATATTTATGAAGATTATATCTCAATATTATCACCAAAAGAGGTAAGAAGATTCTCATGTTATAATAACGGAATTATTTAAATTCATTTCCGTATGACTGTACGTTGCAGGTATCATTAGATTCTCGAGTAAGAGAAATAGTTAATAGAAATATGGTAGAACCAACTCCGCACACATTTGATGAGGCTCAACTACAAATTTATACATTAATGCATAGAGATTCGTATCCAAGGTAAATCCTTTTTAGACATGCAAGTATTCAAATTATAATAAACATCATATTCCTTTGTAGATTCATCAACTCACCATTATTTAAAACACTGGCGCAAATATCAGAAGGATCAACGGCATCAAATGCTGAAAGTCCCGCATGAGCAAGGCATACACCTACATAGGTAATTTACTAATTAAAACTAAAGTTATTTGAATAACAAAACAAAAAAAAACATGAGCGCATAAAAGAAGAAAAAAAATTAAGGAACAAAGAAGAAAAGAAAAATTATGTAATAGTTAAAGTAATAATGCAAATGGATATAACATTATTATGATGATCGTGACTAATGTTCAAACAAAATAAAACAAAAAATGATTACACGATAAATTATAAAGTTAAGAGTTGAGTTGATGATATATAAGAAATTAAATCATAGACCATAAAAATTAATAATGAACCACAAACAAATAATAAATTCACACATAGCCACATACAAAAAAAAATGTTGAATAAATAATTGAAATTATGCAAACAAGGATAAATCAACAAGATAGCACAAAAAAAGAACATTTAAGGAAATAATAAGTTTTTAATAAATTAAAATAAAATATGGTGAAGAAATGATGATGATCATGATGATAACAATTCAGGCCTATGAATATAAATACAGCACACTCATGAAATGTAAAGCATCAAGAAAGTCACGCGAAAGAGCTTTTTACTGGAATACATTAAATGACTAATTTTCATACTTTTATTTCTATATGTCCTCTTCTGTTTGTTGTCAGCTTATCAATCATTATTGTTAATATCTTATAATAGAGAAATGACTTTATTTTTCAACAGCAATCGAATAATTTTAAAACTAGCTCTAAGTCAGCTGCAAAGTTCTATGATTACTATAGTTTGAATTATGATTTTAACGACTGATTCCTACCACTTACCTGACAATTATCTCAAAATTAAACTTTGGTGATTTATTATTAAAAAGCAAAGGTTTTCATTCCACTCAAAAGCTACTCTCAGTGACTTTCTCGTTATTGTGCATGTTCATTAAGTGTGTTATTTCTATATTTGAAACAAAAAAATTATAAAAAATACTTAAAAAGGCAATACATTCGTGCGTGTTGTTTCTCATGTTTAAACATTAAAATGTTTTAAAACTAAAAGCATAGTTTCTCTGTTTTTGAATGAATTATACTTCTTAATTTTTTTTCGATCTTTACTTTACAAAAAGATATATTTTAAATGAACGGTTCTACTAATCATTAGTCACTTAATTACTTATATGATTATGAAAAGATAATATGAACATATGGCTTTAATATCATGATAGCGCTGCATTTATTTCCCATATTTAATTGACATGATTCCTAGAAAAATCATAAACTTCCAAACATTTCAGTTTGTTTTATGAGAAGATATGATAGAAATTTCATACTTACTACTAAGTTATGTTTATCAATTTTATTTGAGGTTTGATCAATTATTTCATTATTATCTTCTATAGTTGATTATTTCCTGAATTTGTTATGTGTTTTTAACACTTACGGAAATGAAGATAAACTAAATGACAGTTCCATTAATCAGCAAAAAATATTTATTAAATGTACTTTTATCGCATTTAACAATTGAAGTTTACTTTCCTTTAAAAATCAATTAAACTTTAATTCGATTTTCGTTCATATCCTGAACATCATAATGCAATACATTTTCATCCTCCACATAAAATAATACATCTTAAATTTCCAACTACTTACTATAGAAAAGAAAATCTCTTTATAGCGAAAAAAGTAGGTCAAAAGCTTGAATTTATTTCTCATAGAACAAAGATTTTAAATTGTCGTTCGGAAACTATTTTCTTTACATCATAAAAAATATCAGAAATGTAAATTTACAAACTAGTTTAAGCTGTTTTCTTTTAGCTCCTTTCTGATGAAAATGTAGATTTTTATTGAAAATTATTTATGAATAATACCATAGATTAATAGACAATCTGTAAATTTTTTTTTTGGAAAAATTATAGCCAAAACTCTCTATTATTTATATTTTTAATAAATTAGGGTTCCTTGACGAATACCACTTAAAAAAATATAGACCAATTTCTAATACCTATTTATATGTAAATATGATTTATATTGATAAACCCAAGTACACAATGTATATGTTTTTTTTTTTTGAAAATACTTCCTCTAAATTTATCTTGAATCAAAAAACTGATATCAATGCCAGTTTAATCATTAAAAGCATAAATGATAACTTTATTATATAAGTTTCATGCCAACCAAAATATATTTTGAAATAAATTCTTTAATTTTACTACAACATTACTACACAACTCTAGTTCTTGTATGAATTTCGTGATAATTTTTGATCTTATAGATTTTATAAAAAGAGCTAACAAGTTTCAGTTTAAAAATGCTTTAAATACACTTGCATCCAATCAAACCAAAATAACTTAATTTTCTAAGAAAATCATTATTCGTAATAATTTGACTGTATGAAAGGTCTTTTATCTAGGAGCTTAATTATTTTCAAAAATATTTATTTCAAATTTTCATAGCATAAATCTACTAAGCACACTTAAAAAATCCAAAAAGATTGTATAAGTAAAGAAAAAAAAATTAAAACTCCATTTGAATGGTTAAGAATAAAAAATAATTAAAAATAAATTCTTCAAAAATAAATAAAAAATAAAAATAATATTAAGGCCTAACTTAGGAACTAATAAGGATTCCATAAATTGAGACAAACCCACATGAATTAAATCTCTTTTAAGAAAAATTTTAAAAAAATTATTTATTTAAATATTCGATTATAAAATTTTTGGGGCTAAAATTGATTAAACTTTTGATTTTAGATTGGACAAAAGTTATTCTTCAGACAAGATTTCTAAAACATCTTTTGGTCGGGGATTGTTCAAATCTGATCATTTTTGCCCACTTGTGATTAGACTTGAGCAATTTTTGAACAGCAAGTGCATTTTGGAATCGAAATAAGAAGTAAAGTTTTGACCAATCTAGAAGCATGATGAATCAAAAAAAAATTCAAAATTTATTTGATAAAAGCAAATTTAATGAAACATAATGCACAATTTAATGTTAGAAGATCAGTTGAAAGGTAAAATAAAAGTTGCACTGCACTGCTCTCTCAACACATGAAAATTAAAATCAAACGAGATGCTCAAAAGATTAAGAGAAAAATGTGTATAAGCATCAAAAAAATATATATACATAAAATATTGCTAGAAGTATATAAAAAGTCGTACTTAAAATAAGTAAGAAAATAAATAAAATTCCCCCAAACGTAAAGATACAAAAAAAAACACAAGAGATAGCAGAAAAAAATAAATCTATATAAATGAATTAAAAAATTTAAAAATATAATGATAAGAAGTTATGTGATGTTGATGGTAAGATTTTGTTTAATTTTTGAGTTTTGTTTATTTTTCTTAAGATTTTTAATGAGATCAAAAGATGATTATGAAATCTATGGCAATCCCTTGTTGTGAAAGAACAGCGACTTAAAGATCTTTGTTGTGTGTTACTTTCCGATGTTTTTAATGAGAGAAAGGTAAAAGAACCCTTATTATTGAAATCAATTGGATAATATATGAGTGGTACTTTGTTTCACAGAAATTGCATTTAAGATGATAGGATGTTAATCCATAAATTTCAACATCCAAATTATCCGAATCATTTTTAATCCTTTTTGCATGTCTACATATGTATGCAAGCGCTTTATGTCTACATTTTGCCCACATATAAAGCGTTTCAACTAAATTCTTCACAAATCTACCACTCTTGTTTCCTTTTTAATCTCAACCTTTCAATCAAATAAAAAACATCACAGTTTATTGCCATTGAAATTTCATAATCGGAATTCTCTTTAGTTCCTTTTCATTCTTGTAACAGTTGTAAATTAGTTTTCGAAAGAATAAAAAAAAAAAGATTCCGAAAATTATCTATGAAAAAAAAATTTGACATGAAATAAGTATAAACATGGTCATCTGGCCGAAAATAGCGCATTTTCTCATGGTTGAAAACTGGAAAGTTCCAAGATAATCTTCAAATTTAAATGAAAATTTAACCATCTTACAATAAAAAAAAATATTACAAGCTCAAGATCCAAGAAAAGCTCAGACATGGTTTTATTATCTGGGAAAATGCGCTTTAAAGTTGTTAACTCTTATATTTGTTGTGTATGTTAATAAATAAAGTAATTTACAATGCAGCTTCAAACATTTTAAAACGATATGAAACTTATTCATTGATTGAGAATTTCATTGAGTTTCTGGCTCAATTTTAGATGCGTAGAATTGATAAAAATTAAAATGTGTAGTTGAAAGTGAAGAAAATGTTAAATCTTTGCAACTAAAGTTTATTCTATATTAAGTAGTTTCCAGACATCTAAAATCAGCTCGAAATTCATGAAATTTCTGATATTCACTTTCTCAATATTTGACCCCTCATTAAGAACAACCTGAAAATTTGAAGAGAAGGATGGTTTTCTGATGCAGTCAATGAAAAGTTTCATTTCAAAAATTCACTTAATATTAATAATGAAAAAAGGAAAAATTATTTGAAATATTTATCAAATGGCTTAAAAACCCTGGAGATGTCAAGTCTCTGCTGATTTAATACCTTCCAACACTACAAGAAAGATTGATTCCTGGTCTATGTTTAAAATTTTCTTTAGATGCTTTTTTAAAATTCAAAAAGATCTTAAAAGCCATCATTCCTTGAAGAATTTCTTGAATATAAACTGGGATTGAATTCTATATTCAGGAACTAGATTGTATTTTGTTTAAAATTCAAAATTCATTAAAGATGAATCATAGCTGCATATTCTTAATATGGGAAGTTGAAATCTAACTTAAATACATTCTAGCTCCTAGCTTTATCTAGTAAGATGAGTTAGGAAATTATTGAATTTTTGACTAGTCAAAGTTGAATTTAAATTATTTAATAAATTACTAATTGATCTTACTCACTGTCTGTTAAAACCAAATAATTTTTGTTATTGCATAAAATAAATTTATTTCTGTTTTCACTAATCTAAGAAATAAATTCTATTTATTAATAAATTGTTGAGTTAAATGTGCAATGAATCTATTCAATTCATTTTCTAGTCACAAAGAATTTTATGTTGAATATTATGAAGATAACAATTTTTAAATTAATTAAGCATACAGGTCAAAAAAAACAAGTTTTTAAAAGTGAATCATGAATTTAAACTTTAATGAAATAAAAAAAAATGGAAAAAAGTAAAAAAAAAATATAAATTAGGTTAATTAAATTTAAATGTGACATTTAGGAATTTTTCAACAATTTTTCTCTCCACGCGAAACGCTAAT